TGTTTGAAATCCTAACTCATATTTAGAGAGAAAAATAAAAGTCTTAACTCAAATAATAGTAGTAATATTTTTTATATTTAAATAGTCTGGATTACAGGAGCAAAATGTACTGCTACTGGCCTTTTTTCAGGTGACAGTGCATATAAGCAATTAAAATGAGAAGAAATTCTGGCTTGAAATAGCAAAATTTGAGGATACATCTATTTAACTAGGAAATGTCGTTAGTTCGGTAAAAGGGTCAGAAATGCCAAGTCTTCTCTAGAGACTGATAAAAAATAATACTTAAAATAAAGAATGATGTGCTCAATGAGCTACAATTCAAATAGAGGAAATTTAATGGGAAATGATTACATTAGTAGCAGATGGATTTGCTTCCTGAATTGTAATCTTCCTGGAAATCCTAGAACAGCTTAAATTTGAGTTTTAGATTGAGAGTCTGATAAAAAGATAGATAGCAAGCTTTGTTTATTTGGTTGTGCTCTGTGATTCTTACTGTGCCTTTGGATATTTCATTTTTCCTAGGCTATATTTATGATTCCCACAAATCCACCACCAACATTCAGGAAGCCAGAACTGTGGTCTGATGAGTTCACTGATTTTGTTAAGAAGTGCCTGGTGAAGAATCCTGAGCAGAGAGCTACTGCAACACAACTGTTACAGGTCAGTACCTGTGCCTCCACGGAAAGGATACTTTCTTCAAACTTTGTAACTTTCTTACATGGGCCAGAATGGCCTTGAACTCGATCTAATGATGTAAACTTTTCCAGGAAATAGGAATTGATATTTCCCTCTCTGTCCCTCTCTCTCTACCCCTCCCTCTACCTCTCCTCTCTCACTATATTCTTTTGAATATTCTGTATTGTTTTCCAGTCTTCTGTCCCTTTCCTTTATTTTTTGTTGTTGTAATTAACACTTTCCAGCATTATTTTGAGTTCTCAATTTTTTGAAGCATTTTAGAACTAACATTTGTCTCCGTTGTTACTACTGTTCCTGGGGTTCCCCCACCCCCCAGGATGTATTTATACCTTGGATCAGCCTTTATCTTTTGACTTTTTTTTTTGCTCCAGTGTAAAAAAAGACAAATCACAGCCACTGTCATTGAGTCAATTCTGAATCATAGCAACTCTGCAGGACAGAGAACTGCCCCATGGGAATTTCAAGACTATAAATCTTTACAGAGGCAGATTGCCATATTTCTTTCTGTGGAGCTGCTGGTATGTTCAGTCTGCCAGTCTTCTGGGGAGCAGTTGATACTTCAGTCACTGTACACCAGCAGATTAGTTTAAACCTCTGAGCTTGTAAGAAGTATCTCTCACTAAACTTATTAGTATACGAAAAATTATTTTTAAATGACAAAACTTAATAAAACTATAGTTCTTGTACAAAGTGATTTTGCAAGGTACATTTTGAGAAAGAATTTGTAAAGAGGTGTGTAGGAACAAGGGATTAAATATGCTGTTTACTTTTATAAACATGTAATTTAGAATTTAGCTTTCATGAAAAGAAAGTTTAAAAATAACTATTTTTATTTACGATTTCTCCAGTTTTCTCAAATGTAAAACATGAATAATCATGCTCATATCACACAGTTGTTGTTTTCCATTGGGTCAGAACTAACTTAAAGCTGACCTTCCAGCTTTAAGATTTTCAGAGGCAATTAATCATTCAAGAAGAGATTACCCATGGTGGAGTGGACCTGGGGGAGGGGGGGGAGGATTATAAAACAATGGAAGAATTTTTCTTTTACTTTTCCAAAAGAGGAGTGTACTTGGGGGGAGGCTTGGGAGGGGAGAAAAGTATAACAGTGAATGAATGGAAATTAAAAAAAATAAATAAAAGAGCTTGCCCATCCTTCTCCTGTGTGGCATCTAGTGGATTCAAACCTTGTACCTTTGACATTACAGTGCAGCTTCTTACCACTAGACCACCAGAACTCACTTTATTGCACAGTAACTCCAAGATATGAAAGTTATGTTGATACAAACCTCTGTTGTACTTATCTTTATATGGTATTTGTTAACAAACATGAACCTTTTTTCCTTGTATCTGAAAATTTCTCCATGGCTATTACCCAAAAATTGTAAGAGCCCGAGAAACGGAAAAGTGTGAAGAGTGATAAGTAATTATTTTTTTTAAAACCAGTAGAATGGAGGACAGCTATAAAGTGACACTTAATGGTTTAGATGAGAATTTACCTTTTAAAAAATGCATATTCAGATGAAATTTTTTTTGTAATTATGTTTTAAACTTTGGAAAAAGATAAAATTATTTGCCAGAGAAAGTGATAACATGGTGCAGGTACTATTTCATATTGAAGACATTGTTCATTGTTACAAAGCGTTGTATTTCTAAAGGAGTAAATCTATAAGTAAAAAGATAAAAGAAAGATGGCATATTGTGAAAATAAACATTGTCATGTATTTTGATCAAGAAAAAATACTTAATCTTCATTCCCAAAGTTCACATTTTAAAAAAACCCCTGAAACCCAACTATCTTTTAAAAAATGACATATTCTTTGACCCAGCAAATTGACTTTTAGTAATTTATTTTACAGAGGAAAAAAATTTGCCTGTGTGAAATAATGTGGGTAAAAACATTTGTGGAATATTAAAATAGCAAAAATTAGAAAGAAATTAAATATTTTGTCAACAGGTTCTCTAGAAAGACTTTAGCAAAACATTTTTCTAAGGTGCAACAGACAAAGGGACTAGTAAATGCAAACACATATGTATGTGTATGTGATGCGCACAATCATATTTATGTCTCTAGAATTCCATTTTAATGACTCCATCCTACATAATTTTTTGTATAAGTTGAGTACCCTTTTATGTTTTTAATATATTTTCATTACTATTGCCTCTTGTGGGAGAAGGCTGGACAATCTCCTCCTGTGCAGTTAACTGCCTCTGAAAACCTGCTGGAGAGTCAGCTATGGCTGATTCTGACTCAATAGTACACAGTAATAACAACATTGCTTTTTATTTATTACTTATTTTTATCTTCTATGTTTCTTAGAAATATTGCATATAAACTTGAAAAATACAAAAATCATAAACCACAAACAAAAGAGCAGCTGATGGATTAAAAGTGCATACTTTTGGGTTGGAAACTCATTTCCTTCCCACTGAGCCACCAGTGCTCCCTCCTGATTTAACATGTTGTTGTTATGTGCCATCGAGTCGTTTGCGACTCATAGCGACCCTATGTACAACAGCCCTAAACCCTGCTCTATCCTGTGCCAATCGCATTGCCTCTGACACACCCATCCCGATTACCCCAGTCACTGAATCAGTCCACCTCATAGAGGGTCTTCCCCTCCTGCACTGTCCCTCTACCCTACCAAGCATGATGTCCCTCTCCAAGGACCTGTCTCTCCTTACAACATGTCCAAAGTATGTCAGACGAAGCCCCAGAATCCTTGCCTCCAAGGAGTGGCCTGGTTTAACCCTCTATAGGATGGATCTGTTTGTTTTCTTGGCAGTCCATGGAACATTCAGTACTCTTCCCCAGCACCATAGAAAATGAAATCTATACAGCAATGCGTTGAACAGTAAAATCTTAAACTTTGAATATCTGAGAATGAGTATCTTAAATAACAGCATATTATATGCCACCACATCTGGAAACTAAGGTGCTCCTGATCCAGACAGTGATCTTCATATTTAATTACCGTACATCAGAGAGTTGAACAGTGACTAAGGAGGATAGAAGAATTAATACCTTTGAGTTGTAGTTCTGGAGAAGAGTATTGAACATACCATGGACTGCTAAGAGAACAAACAAGTCTGTTCTGGAGAGGAAGAAACCAGGCTGCTCCTTGGAGGCAAAGATTTTGAAGCTCTGTCTGACATACTTTGGGCATGTTGTGAGGAGGGGCCAATCCTTGGAGAGGAAAATCATGCTTGGAAGGGTGTAGGGACAGCGCAAGAGAGGAAGACCCAAGATGAGATGGATTGATTCAATGACTGGGGTAATGTGGATAGATGTGTCAGAGACGATAAGGTTGACTCAGGATAGAGCAGGGTTTAGAGCTTTTGTGTATAGAGTTGATATGAGTCGCAAATGACTTGATGGCACATAACCACAACAACAGCAGTGATGGTAAATTGTAAGAATCTCTGGTGACCTAGTGATAAGAAGCTGTGATGCACTCTCAAAGGCACACCGTTCGAATTCACCAGCGGGAGAATGGACACTCTCCTCCTAGGCAATTTACTGCCTCTGAAAACTCTCTGGAGGGTCAGTTATGGGTTGGTTCTGACTCAGTGGCACACAACAACAATTATAAGTTATACCCTCCTTCTCAAAACAAACAAAACACACAAAGGGAAAAAACCCACACCAAAACAAACCATCAGCACTGCTGTTGACCTTTGAAAGCCTTTTACTTGAATATATTGTAAGCCAGGGACTGCCTGTATATGCATATATACTAATCGTTGCCAGTATCTCCAAATAAAGAAAAAGATACTCTAGGGAAAAAAAAAATGCATGAATGAGAAACAGGTGAAATGAAGACTCATTTATTATTGAATATTCTTTTAAAATTATTAAAAATTATTGTAAAAATTAATTAGCAAAGCTAATGAAATGGATAAAATAGAATTGCCAGTTCAACATCTATTACATGTATAGTTATTTGAATACATTCATTATGTTGTGTAACCATCACCACTGTCTATTTCTAAACCTTTTCATTACCATTAACAGAAAGTCTACCCCTCCCCAAAGAAATAACTTCTCCCCTCCTACCCTGGTAACACTAAAAACCTTGGGTCTCTCCATTTGCCCATTCTAGATATTTCACTTAAATAAAAACTTACAACATTTGATTTTTTTGTCTTGTCTTCAGCTTTATGTTAAGTGTGCATATTACTTTTATTAAATATTGCCAGTTCACTTTAGTTGTTAAAGTGTGCTCTTAGAGTGTTGTTGATGTGTTGTTGAGTCAGAAGCATCTCATAGCTGATCCTCTAGAGAGTTTTCAGAGGCTATAAGTTGCATGGAAGGAGATTGCCCATGCAATCTCCTAGTGGATTCAAACCACCTGCCTTTGGGTTACCAGTCCAATTCATTAACCAGTAGGCCACCAGAGTTCCGTTTTTGTGTATTGTATTTACTGTTATGTGATATCAAGTCAGAATCCATTTACAGCGAGCTGTCAGAGGGAAGATTTTACATGGGAGGAGATGCTGGTGGATTTAAACTGTCTATATTTTTGTTGGCAGTGCAACTCCTTACCCACTGGAGCCACCAGAGTTCCCATTTAGTGCTTTATTGTATTCCAATATTTTTTAATGTGTTTCATTTACTATCTTTATTCTAAATTGTCAGCTCCTTAAGGACAAAGGACATAACTTCAGTGATATGGTAACATTTCTATCAGTTTTCCTCATTTTTTTCCTTCTTCATAGTAAAGCTGAGGTTCCCTCCTCCTTGTTGCCCTACCGTTTGGGGGCACTATTCCTGCTTTATAGCTGTGTTGTAGGTGCTTCTGTTATTTAGATTAGCAGAAGGGGAAGAGATGACAGAAGAATTAATACTTGATGTTTTTAGTCTCATACAAGGAAGTATATAGTACATTCTTCTGGTGAGAATCTGGACATACAGTCAACAACCATCTGAAAGGAACCTGGGAAATACAGAACAAAGCTAGGTAGCTCCATGCCTACCTACAACTCTGTGTTAGAGAACTAAGAGTCTCTACCGTAGATATATTTATTAATGCTTATTTAATCTACAGATAAATTGGTAGTTAATAGAATTTATTATTTCTTTGTCATTAATCGTAGTAGTTCTGTACTCTAGTACAGTTCTTATTTAGAGTTTTGCCAAGTGATAAATTCACCATTTTTAAGTTTTTTTTTTCAATTTTCATTAAGCTTCTTTATAACTTCTTCTTGGGCATTAAAATGTTTTTGTCTTTGAGGATAGTTTATGCTCTATTGTTTGTTATTAAGATCACCTGGGTAGCTTTCACTTGATATTACATATTTGCATATTATAATGAAAATTACATTTTATGATTACATTGCTTGCCTCAAAATAAGATTATGTCTCCCAGATTTTGTTCATGGGGTCGCTATAAGTCGTGTATGACTCGATGGCACTTAACAACAACCACAACATTTCAAGATTATACCTTAAACTTGTATTTCTACTTTGTTTTACTTCCTTTCTCTAAAAATAAATTTAAAAAATTAAAAATAAAAAAAAAGCACAACAGGGTCTTTTCTGATGGTTTTCCTTCCACTTTTCAGAATTATTATCAACTTGATGGAACCTAACAACAACACAAGAAGCTATATCAGGATAGTATAAAAAAGAACCAAAAACTTATTTTATGTTTAGTGTAGATAGAAGGCAGTATTTATTTTCTGGGGGAAAAACTGGTGTGTATGGATTCCTCTCCCCCAACCTCTTTCAACCCTCAGTTTTAACATTCTCTGTTGCATAAAATGAAATTATGAAAAACATGAAAGAATAGAAACCATCCAAAAGAACTTACAAAATAACTATTTTCCTGCTGATGGAGTTCATTGTCTGCAGTTCATTTGTCAGCTTCCTATACATTGTTTTTGATACTCCCTCCATGCATGTATCAAATTGTGGGACCCTATGATTAACCACTCCCTAATCTCCCCACCCAATCCCCTCCTAGCCTCACCCCTGTGCTCCCCTCCCCATCTTTGATACTCATTCTACAATAATGGTTTTATACGGTATTTGTCCTTAATGGAACTGGGTTAGTTCACTCAGCATAATGCTTTCCATTCCCTTCCAAGTTAGGTAGTGATTTACAAAATCATTGCTCCTGCATGCTGAGTAGTATTGCATTGTGTGAATGTACTTTGGTTTCTCAATCCATTCAATCGTGGTTGGACATTTAGGTTGTTTCCACGTTATTGTGATGGTGAATAACGCTGCTATGAACATTAGTATACTTCCGTTGTACAATTGTATTTTCAAACATATTGTAATTTTGTTAGTTATAGGGTTGCAATTTGATGAGTGTTCTTTAGGGTTTTTTTATTAAAAAGAACAAATAAACCCAAGTAAAAATGAACTCGTATTTTTAATTCTAGGTAGAAAAAAACACCCCAAACCAAGACAAAGTGTTGTTTAAACATTTGATCTCTATTCGTTTTTTCATGTTGTTTTAGCATCTTTATATCATTCCAAGAAATCTCTTGAATTTACATGTCATTCACTTTTAATCTTCTAGCATCATTTTATCAAGAATGCAAAACCTGTGTCAATTTTAAGGGATCTGATCACTGAAGCTATGGAAATCAAAGCTAAACGACATGAAGAACAGCAACGAGAACTGGAAGAGGAGGAAGAAAATTCGGTTCGTAATTACCTTTCAGAAATTAATTTTTTTCCCCAAAAATTTTTCTATAATTTTGTTTCCTTTCTTGCAATATAACACTGTTTTATTATTTACTGTTACATACTAATACTTACTGTTGTTGTTATGTGGCATCAAGATGTAGCTGACTCATAGCTGACCATCCAGTGGTTTTTCATAGGCAGTAATTTGCATGGGAGGAGACTGGCCATCACCTTTTACATTGGCAGCACACCTCTTCATTATTTGGCCACTAGAACAAACTCCTTCTTTTCTTATATTGTTGTTGTTGTTGTGTATCATTGATTTGGAACCAACCCATAGCACACCCCACAGTGGGTTTTCAGAGGCAGTTAATCAGACAGAAGTAGATTGCCCATCCTTCTTCCATGAAGAGGCTGGTGGTGAATTCAAAGGGCATGCCTTCGGAATTGCAGCACAGCTTCTTACCACGAGGCCATAGATTGCTTCTGTTTTCTTATACAGTGAGGTATAAATTAATAAAATCTTATGCTTTTATTTGTTTGCATTGAATATTTACCATTTTTCTATCTTTTACAAGTTAATGATTAGTGAAATGTACAATTGATATTATAAACATACATAAATCTCTGGTGGCACATTACATGTTGAACTTCTCTCTGAAAAGTCCACCAGCCACTGCTTGGAAGAATGGAGAGTTTCCTCCTTGAAAGAATAGCCTTGGAAGCCTGATGGAGGTAGCCATGTATCAGAATCAGTTCAACAGCAGTGAGTGTTTAGTATTTAGTGATACTCACTATGTGATTGTAGAATAAGCATTACTTGAATGTGGTCAATTTTGTGTCATATTTTCTGGAACTGTCTTAACTTGTTAGCAAAGCATCTATGCTTTCAATATAGAGCACTGCAGCAGAAGAGAAAGAACAAGGGACAGACAGGAAGTTAGCAAATTAAACTATTTCCCTCACCCCCCCCCCCAGTTATTTACTTTTTAACTAAGTAGGTGACGATACATTGATTCCGTAAAAAAATTAGTAGATGCTATAGAATGATGTAAAGACCTTGGCTCTTCTTTGGAGGGATTTTATAGTTAGTGCAGTGGATTCATGTGTGGTGATAGATATATTTAGTTTTGAATTTCTCTCCAGTCAACAATTGTGCAGCATCTTGCAGTTTCAAAAATGCTTTATCCTGTCTGATTCCATTTGATGTTTAGGTCAAATTGGTCTTGCAGTGATAATTGTATGCAGTTCTGTAACCATAAAATGATGAGCAGTGGCTCACTCCTCTGGCAATCGACAGACTTCCTCAGTTCCGTGTCAGAGGAGCTTCATTGTGCTGTTGGAGAGTAAGCATGGAAGTTTGCTTCCTGCAACGAGGAACTTCTTTATCCTTTGAAACAAAATTAATAAGAAAAAAAGGAAAAATCTTACCAGCCTTTCTTTAAGCAGTCTACACGCTCTTTGCCTTAGATTGTGTTTTCAAGTAGTAGCTTCTGACTTGAGATAATTATGTCAATTGCACCTAACTGTAAAACTTACATAAATTACAAGATCTATATAAAAATTAAAATCTTTTTACATAGGTATATACACCATGCATATGTACATATTTATAAGCCTATAAAAGAGCAATGAAATGTATAGATCTGAAGTCCTACAATAAAAGTATATTTTTACACTGCTTTGGGCATGTTGCAGAGAGGGACAGATCCTTGAAGAAGGACATCATGATTGAGAGGGTGGAGGGACGGTGCAAGAGGGGAAGACCCTCTATGAGATGGATTGATTCAGTGACTGGGGTAATCGGGATGGGTGTGTCAGAGGCAGTGCTATTGGCACAGGATAGAGTAGGGTTTAGGGCTGTTGTACATAGGGTCGCTGTGAGTCGCAAACGACTCGACAGCACATAACAACAACAACATTCTTTTTAAGAAAATTGTTTAACATTAGTCAAATTCTCTCAGTAATATTTATTGATGTCGTCTGAAGCTCACAATCTTGCCTCGGTATGGACTTTGTAGTGTTCATTCTTTTGGGATTCCTTTGCACATTGACTTAAATTGCATATGCGATTTAAAAATTTTTTGTCACATATCTGCACATCTTACCATTAAGGTGACTTTTTTCTCCTGTAAAAGTTGTTGTTGTGTACCAAGAAGTAAGAGCTGACCCATAGCTGACCCTCCAGGGAGTTTTCAGAGTTAATTGCACAGGGGAAGATTGCCCATCTTTCTCTCTTGGAAAACCTGGTGGTTTCAAATTGCATACCTTTGAGTTGCCAGCACAACTCCTTACCACCAGACTACATAAAAGTAAAATATTTAATAATTTTATATTTATATTCTTACTAGATTAACATAAATTTCATTTTTATTTTCAGTATAAATTACAGACATATGTAGATTTTGTTTTCTTCTTCTTATTTATTTTATATGATGGTATAGGAAAGGACTAGGCTTGAATCTGTTCATTGAGTTGAAGTTGACAAAATGGCACTAACAACAATTAATGTGTAGCATTTAAGATATAAACATATAATTGATAATTCGTTAACTATACAACATGCAGAATTCACTCCTATATATTTCTTGAATTAATTGTTTTTTCCTTTTTTAAAAATTTTATTTTATGAATTTTAATGAACATTTACAGAGATTTTTAATTTCTGTTCATTCATTGTTGCACATTTCTCCCTGCCCACCCCTCCCCCCAGTTCGTTCCTCTCTTTGAAAAGTAAAAGAAAAATTCTTTCATTGGTGTACAATAAGATTAATTTTAAGTTTCCTAGTATTACCTATTGAAATGCACAGGCACTTAAATAATTAGTTAAAATATTTGTTAAGTAAATGAGTGCTTGTTTTTAAATAAAACATATGTTGATTGATTAATTATAAGTAGAATACATGATGTTAATACACTGAATTTATGAAGTCAAATATAGATTGCTCCACTGTTACAGTTAATTTAGAAAGTAGATTAGAAGATTAATAAAGCATTTACAAGAATTATTTTGTAATTAAACCTGTGGCATCTCCTGTATGAATCCCAATACTAAACAAAATACAAGTTATGAAAGCTACAGAAAAAATTTTTTTAATATTATATAAAATTTAAGATTTTTTAAAATGTTAGACTTGATACCTTTTCCCTTTTATGCATTTATTAATCCCTTGGCTGAAAATTAAGAAAATTACTTAAAGCTGGATTTCTTATGCCTGATTAATTTATAGATTAAAAAATTATCTATTAATCTTATGAGAGATCTTTCCTTTGCAAAAGCAGTGATGATTTTCTTAATAGCTTTTTTATAGTCTAACTCTTAAGTTTTTCTGTCTGTGATCCTTAAGATTTTAGAGATGGTTAGACCTAAGTCTCCTTTCTAAAATAGGATTCACTGAAGAAGTAATCTTAACATTAGTGTAGGAAGAAATGCCAGGGTGTTTTGCATGATCCCCATGAGAGAACAAACAGCTTCCAGGTAATTATTTTCTCTCATTTCTTCTTTCCTCTTGTCCCTGTTTGATAGGGAATTTAAAATTATTCCTCTAATAGAGGACATTTGAACTGGTTAAAGAATAGACCACGACCAAAGTCAGCCCATGACAGCCCAGAAGCCTCTAGTGTACCCAGTTGGCTAAATGAGACTAGCATTTATCTATAGGCAGGACAGACAGCTTGGACTTGAGCCCTTATGTTTTGCTTCAATAACTGTCTGTCCTTGCTCATGTTACCTAATTTCCCTGCTTCAGTTTCACTATCTTTATAAAGGAAATAGTGATAGACCAATTTCATAGAGTTGTTATGGACATATAATAAAGATATATCTAAGCACTTAGCAAAAGTTCTTGCACATAATATGTGCAATAAAGTTTGACTATCATTTTTGTTATACTACTACCAGTATTGCTACTATTAAACATTTTGACCAGGTAGGTTTTTTTGTTGCTGTTACTGTTTTGTTGGTTTAGTTCTTGGTTTCTTGAATTGTAGCTGTTGTTACTTACTTAGAAACCACAAAAATAATTCAAATTTCCTTAGAATTCTGAGACAAAATTTAAATTGCTGTATGTCATTGCAAGAGTTGGTAGAGATTATAAGCTTAGCTTTAAACTATGTATTTTAATATTTTCAAGGAAACAAGAGTAGACAGTAGTTATTTGTTTACTTGTCATTTCTTTAATTTCATTAAAAGTAAGTATAGATTCA